TGTGTGTGTGTGTGTGTGTGTGTGTGTGTGTGTGTGTGTGTGATGTACAGTGATCACTCAGTATGACTGAACAAAAAGCCAAAGAAGAAGACCCTGACATGTCAGGGTCTTTACTCCTCTCCCTCTTATTGTCGTCCATCTTTCCCTCCTGCCTGCCAACCTGTTTCCCACCTTCACCACAGCTTCTGTTGCCTTGGTGACGTCTCACAGACCAACATATGGATCACCCCCTCACCCGCCCCCCACCCACCGCTGTGGCTCACATTTCTTCACCTTTCCAGCCCGTTGCAGCCCCTCCATCTTGCTCCCTCCACAGCTCACAGAGGGCTCGAACTCAAGCTGCCTTCTAGTTCCTTTGGGTCTGAAGATCTTTTATTTTTTTTGCTAAGTTGCCAGCTGGGAGTATAAGAGGGACATAGTAGCACATGTGACTCATGATCACAGTGTGAAAGCTCCACAGAAGGCCAGCAGATTTTAACATTTGACTCTGAATTGATTTTTTTTTTTTTTTTGTGATGCTGAAGCAGAGTGTTATCCATTCAGACAAAAAATAAAATAAAATAAAATAATAATAATAAAAATAAACCACTGGGTAAAAGTAGGAAACAAACCACAGAGGGAGGAAGCAAATGCCAGCACGGTTTGAGTGTCTTGCCTCTCCCTGCTTGGGCTGGACTGGCATTTGGAGCAGACACACGCAGGCCAAAAGGTCAGACCTGTTGCCACACGAAGCAAATTTTGATGCTGCAAATATTCCTGCGAGGGGAGACCAGAGTCAAGAGAGGGGTCAGTAAAAAATAAAAATGAATCAGTAACTGAAGGAAGGGACATCTGGACACTGCTGTGTGCACTTATAGCTTGCCTGAAGCCTCCAAAAATATGGTTTATTGATCCATTAGTTTGTCAGATAAAATCTCTCTGCTGGGATTTCACAGATGAATGATTTTCATTTCCTGGTGGCAGATTATAGGACATCATATGTGAGGTCTTTTAAGATGGGAGGGTGAAAAAGGAGGATATTGGATGTAAGTCAGGTGAAGGAGCTGTTGGTTTATTTAGGCAGGACTTCAGTCTGTATTCCTGCAGCGGAGGACAGGAAAGGTAAAGCAGGAAAACTTCTGGAGCTCAGGTTGTTTCTAAGAAAACAAAAGAAAGACACTTCAATGACTTAGTAAACCGAATAAAACAAAAATAAATTCAGGTTTAAGTGTCTCAGTTTTGTTTCTCAGAGGTAAACCGGTGACGAATTGGGAGGAAACACGAGCTGTTGCTGCCCCCTAGAGGTGTGAAGCAGAAACACACTGAAATTGTGCAGAAGGAAAGGTTTGTGGCTCATGGAAAAATTTTTCATTATCTGTCAAAAATATCCCCATGAATCAGTGGATGCATTTGAACAAACTCTCCAAAAATAATCAGTGGATACATTAGATACATCTGGTAAACTTTTGGAGTCAACTTTATTCAAAATGTCTGCACAGCTGAAAAACATGCAAACATGAAAACAGCTCAGTTTTAAAGATGTTGGCCTAAATTAAGAAGAGTTCAGCATTTATTTTAGGCTCTACTAGAGTGTTCAATATAACATTGTCATTAATGTCTGTTAGCAAAATATCATGAACCCCTGGATGGATTTTAATGAACAAAACTGTGATAACTGTACGTCTACAACACAGCTGAGTCAGTTGGTTTTACAGCTAAAATTTAGTCTGGTGATAGCTGAGAGTCACTCACCACACATACTCTGAGTGTGTCACAATATTTCAAAATGTTTTGTAAAATGTTTTACCAATGTGGATATAAAGTTGTCATTTCTCATCATGTTTATTTTAATTTAATAAAAAAAAACAGCAGGTATTCCTTCCATGAATGCTACAAACCTTTATTTTATGATCATCTCACTCATCCTAAAAATAAAGTGCCTGTTTGCAGTGTTTATCACACAAACTCCATATTTGTGATCACAACTAATTATTGAAGCAAAGAAGGAAGGAAATCAACAAAATCCTGACTAATTAGATTACCTGCTAGATTATTATCATTTATTTGATTGAATAAAGAACTAACTGTATAGTTTTATTAGTTTAATTTAAAGAAACACTCTGTGTTGATGCTTTTTGTCTCCTTGACCAGAATTATTGATCTCAGCTGTCTGTGGATTTAATCATCAGACACTTTTACACTAAAAAAACTGATTTATTGAATTTACAAGTTAAGTCAAGTGGTTGCACTGAACCGAGTTGAGTAAATGTAACAAGATTTACACAAGCAACACAAAATTAAATAAATTTACTTAACTTCATTGAGTGGAATCCCTTGACATAACTTAAATTCAACTAATTAGTTTGGTCCTCGATTTAAAACATGTAGCTGTAACAAAAACATTTTTAACTCCTAAAGGTTGATTGGGTATATTAGAGGGGTTTATTAAAATTTAATATGAACATGTTTACACAATAAGGTAAAACGTGTATTTAGTGTTTGTGATTGTTTTAATAGAAAAGCTAACATGAGTGTGGAAAACTGAGACAACTTTGAATTAAAACAATTTATTTTATTTCACACAACATGAAATAGCTTAACATATTTGATGTGAAAATGTAATTAATGAACTTTTTACACAGAACTGTAATGTTTGTTTATTGCACTCTAAATAAAACTGCACTAAGGTGAAAAGTATTTAAGTTTTCAGATTAAAACAAAAACATTAATACAACTTTTGCTAGTTTATTCTAGATGGAAAAACTTGGGATTTTGAGAATTAATGGACTTGACTCTGAATGTGTAAAATAATTTGTTATAATTAACATTTTGGTGTGCAGGGGGGGGGGGGGTCAGAAATACTGAACTGAATGACATGTTTTTAAAAACGTTTGTGTTTAATTTGTTATATTTATTGCATCGTGTCATTTATTTGATCTTGAGTTTGGACTTGATTTATTAAGTTGAACATGTCTGAACTTTTTATGAAAAAAAAAATTAGCCACACTTTCAAACTACAAACACTATGGATAAATAAATACAGCACAAGTTATTTAGAAATATTTGATTAAAATGTTACTTTTTAAAAACCTTCTAAAAATATTGAATGTGTTTATTATGTGATCAGTTTTTATTGACAATAGTTGAAATTGAGTAAAAAAAATTGTAACCCAAAGTAAAAATGGTTTCAAATTCTCTGCTTGTAAAGAATCAGAGCAAAAACATTATTTCATTAAAAAAAGAGGACACAACAGTTGTGATGATCTGTCATTTAAACACTGCATTCATGAATGTACAGCAAGGCCGAACTAAAAATGTATAAAAAATATTTTGTGCACTCCAATTATTTTTAAAAAGCATGCTATTCTACAGAAGGAACTTTCTAAATCACCTAAAATCTTTTAAAAGTGGCCGAGGGTCGAGTTTTTACATCGTACCTCCCGGCCTCTCAGGTTATTTCAGATTCTGCAGCAGAAAACAAGAAACGAATCCAAATCAGACTTTAACAAAAATAAAATACTCAAAAGAAATGATTCGTAAAAAATAGCCGACATCTAATAAAGAACTTTATTTGATTTTAAATAGATTTACAAACCATAAGAAAATAAAAAGAATATAAACAAAGGAGAAAAAAAAAACATCAAGTGATCGTCAAAATATCCACATGTGCATATCAAGGTAGAAATTGTAAACAGTCCTATGAAGCCGACAAGTGAGTGCCCACCCCCCCCCCACTCCCAGGGTCCGAAAGGGTCCGGTTTACTCAGCTGGAGAAAAACTGGTTGGTTAGTTGTGTGTTTTTTTAAGTTGTTTTTCTTCCTGAGGCTTTTCTGCTGCTGGGTTCAGAGTTCAGAAAATTTGGGGAACAAGTGGGGAGGAAAGACGATGAGAAAAGAAAGAGAAACTAAATTATGTTTTTTTTCCTAAAAAAAAAAAAAAAAAAGCTCATTTATAAGTCATAAAGTGGGCACCTGGTATTTATTCGGTAATCTGCGCTGGAGTTACGTTGTCAAATAATTTTGTAATTGTAACAAATTTAAAAACCGTCCAGCTTGTTCCATCTTTACGAAAAAAAAATGTCAAAAACAAGTCAGTTTCAGCTAAAAAAAAATTAATTGAGGAACCCTCTTTATTTTTTAAAACAATCCCAACTCTTGTAGCAAATCTAAAAAAAAAGCACAAACACATAAAAGCATGCGATAAGAACATGCTCAAACACCAAAAACCCTTCTTACTGTCGTGATTCCCCACAGAGTTTATCCTTTGAGCGACGCGCCAATTTTTAATATTTGGAAACAAGGTTACAGTAAACAAAAACGTCCATAAAAATAACCATAATTGAAACCAATGGGGCTGAAGTAACACAGCCTGGCTGTCCTTTTCTACCTTCACAGCCTGAACTGCAGTTAGGTCAGACATTTAAAGCCCTACTTGTTAAAACTGACTGCATAGGATTTGTTTTTGTTTTTTTACACAGTACTCAGGATTTCAGCAGCAGGCTCAGGTAGTAGTTTTTCTTTTTAAACACATTCAGCAGCAGCAGGTTACGATAAAGGCTGTGTGACAGTAACACGTTCATTGTTTAGATCAGCTGGTAAATCTCAGCTTTCCACACTCGCAGCTGAGACAAATCCAACAGGTGCTTCTATAAATAAGCTCGTGCATCACACTGAAACTGAATATCACTCCTCTGCTACTTCTCTGTGTTTCGCTGGACTGCTCAGATCTGGGATGTTATAGTTAGAAAACAAAACAAAAAAGGCACAAAGGAGTGAGGTTTTTTTTTTTTTGAGACACGACTCCCATATTTGGAGCAGCACGAGCCCTGTGGCTTTAAAAGGTCAGAGGTGAAGCGTGGCAGAGCCTAAAACAGCCTGATAATTGGAGGTGACACACATGGGCTCGAGTGGAAATGACTCGGAGACAAACGGGCAATTTTTTTTCTTGCCGCCTCTCCCTCCCTTAATTAGCTTCTTCTGATCTGGTTACATTCCCGTCTGCTGATGAAGTGGCCGACCGCACGCCGGAAAGAAACTCCAAAACTAAATCTCTTTTCAAAGAATTCAAACAGCTGTCTGTGCAGAGAGGTGGAGGAGGAGGGGTTTCTCCTGATGTTTGTGTTCCATCTTGTAACTTCTACTCAAAAATAAAACAAAAAAAATTAAACACAAAAAAAAATAAATCAAAAACAACTCTGCAGGTTTGTTTTCTTTTATCCACAGAATCAGGCTTTAGTGTGCAGACTGTGATTGTACGTAACAGAAGCTGGAAGAGTCCGGTCTGTGTCAGAAGCGGGGAGGAGGGTGAGTGGGCGAGAACAAGAAGTGGTCAGGGAGGGGGGGTGAGGCGGTCAGGAGTCTTCCGTGCCGGAGTCGTCCTCGTCATAGCAGCAGGCTTCGATGTCGTCCTCGTCGTCCTCGTCCAGCTCCTCGTCATCGTAGTAGTCGTCGTATAAAAGGTTGGAGCCGTCGTCTGTGGGGGGGACCTGGGTGCGGACACAGTATTCGTCCAACGTGACGGGAACCTTGACGCCGTCCCGATCGGCGTCGGCTTTGGTCGCCAGCACCTGCTTCCTTTGAGAAGGAAAAAAAAAAAAAGTTTTAGAGCGGAGAACTTTGTGTTCTGTTCCGGTGTCGTCCTGTCTGGATACCTTATGATCTCGATGTATTCCCGGTCTTTGCCCTTGCTGTCCCTCCACTTGCGGTACATGACGGATGCGTCCACGTTGGCTGGAGAGAATGTGTTTGGTTCGTTCAGCAGAGAGATGACGCTGAGCAGGATGGTCCTGAGCCACGAGAGGAGACAAGATTGTGGTTTTGGGGATTAAAACAGAGGAAAGCTGAGAGACAACCGAGAAGAGAAGCTGGAGGTTAGAAAAAACAGGACTAAAGACAAGAGAGAGAAAAAAATATGAAAAAAGGAGGCAACTAAACCTGCTTATACCTGAAATCATCAATTAATTCACTTTAAGGCAAAAAGCAGCATAGTGTGCTGGTTGATTCAGTGTTGAGGAGTACCTGACGTTCTGTGTGGGGTTCCACCTCTCTGAAGGCAGCTCTCCGCTCTGTGGATCGTCCACTGGTGGATGCAGGATAGAGATGCACACATCTCCGTTCTAAGAACACCACAGAACCATGATCAAACTCTAATTTAAAAAGCTGACATAGGTTTTCACATTTAAATCATTCAGTTGGGGTCTTTATAAAGTGGAATTGCAATTGGTCCGAATTCCTCCTTATTGTAACTCCACAAGCCCCTCTTTTAAAATCTGGTTCACACGGCAAGATTTTAAAATTGTCGGCCCAATTTCAAAGACTGAGAGACAGCAGGTGAGGATAAAAACATCATGGGTAGAACAGGTTTGGTCCTACAGACAGATTTTATTCACAAACATTCAGACGGCAGGAAATCTCGCAAGACCTCTCAAGATCAAACGCGAGTTCAGAGTAAACAAACATGGCCGACAAGGAAGAAGCAATAGTTTGTGGGCTATTTTAAACAGAAGATGACTCCAACGTCCAGCTGGCTTCATGGTTGGCTTCATGGTTGTTTTTTTGTCTTCGGTATTTTTGATTCCCCTCCGTGTTTCCATCACCTCACTCTCTGATTGGCTACACGTCACACTCAACAGGCTGTGAGCTTGTTTGTCCTCGGGGAACATCACACATGCTGAGATATGGAGGCAAGACAATCCAACATGTTGAATATCCCTGATTTGAGGCCGGAGCGGTCCCGACTAGATCACTCTTAACTCACCACACACAGCAGGAATATCTCATGAGGTTATCTTTAGAGCAGGGGTGCCCAACCAGTCACTCGCAAAGCGCAACTTTGCTCTAACAGCTGGCGACAGCTGTTGTCAACTGTTAGAGCAAGGTTGCGCTCCGGTCAAGAGCTCGCTGAGCTTCATTCTAACTCCGGCAGAAGCGGTGGAGGTGGGAGGAGGAGAGCGGAGGGAGCGCGTTCAGGAATGAAAACTCCTCCCGCCTCCCACCTCCACCGCTTCTGCCGGAGTTAGAATGAAGCTCAGAGGAGGATAGTCTCACGAGTTTTGGGTGCTGTGAATCAGTGCTCCGAACATGGTCTTGCGAGACTTTAGAGTCACGTGTTTAAAACATGATCTTGAGGCGGAAAATAATGAACGACAAACGAGCTATCAAGCAAAAACTTATTATTTTCTTCTGGAGTGGGAAGATAACTCATATGTAACTCAAGCGCTGCCTTGTCTAAAAAGGATAACGTGGAACGGCATTTCAAAACAAAGCGCAAACACGGATTTCTTCCTAAAACCGCACAGCATCTATTTTCACACCAGAGGTAAGGCTAATGTAGCCCATCCTGGCTCAACACAAAAAAGGTCTTTCAGCGATGACAAAGTTATGAAAGAAGTGTTTGATGCTGCAGACATGCTTTTCCATGATTTTAAAAATAAAAGTGAGATTGTGGCAGCTATAAACAGGCGCAATTGTCCAGGATGGTTGACATTGTGTCCAAATTCGTGTCCGTGTTTCTGCTAGACTGCTCTGGTGCTGAAAATGAGGTTTTGACTCTGCAAAATGACTTTGGGATCAAATCCTGAGCAACAAGTCGCATGGATGGAGAGTTCTGCAGTCTGCTGTCAGAAGAAATGTATCCTAACATCAGAAGAGGTGCTTTGAACTTGACAGAACTTTTTGGATCTACCTGTGTGAGTCTGCTTCCTCTCACATGAAAATCATCAAATCCAAGAACAGATCCACAATAACTGATGATCATCTGGAGACCTGCCTACGCCTCAACCACCTCATACTGCCCGCTCTGGTTCCTGCTCTCAGTGTCAGAAGTCCCAATAAGGTAGAGACATTTATTTTTATATAGCCTGCATAAAAGGTTTTCTCCTCTAGATTTGTCACATCGTGACTGTATTTGTTTTTTATATTTTTTTTATGTTATTGGTTTTATTACATTTTAGACCAGACTGACTGGTACCTTTGTATGTGTTTGTTTATTTATTTATTTATTTATTTATTTTGCAGTTTGGGTGTGCCCTTGTTTTCTGTACCTAACATGTGTGTGTGTGTGTGTGTGTGTGTGTGTGTGTGTGTGTGTGTGTGTGTGTGTGTGTGTGTGTGTGTACAGGTTTTTCCTACAACATGGGGTATTTTTTACAAAAAAAAGCAGCCAGGTGGGGACTGAAGTGAATCGTGGGGACCATTGTCAGGTCCCCACGGGTCCAAATGCATGTTACAGGTGTGGGGTTAGGTTTAGGACCAAGGTTTAGGTTAGTTTTAGGGTCAGGTAAGTTTCTGAGGTTAATTTTAGAGTATATGGTCAGGGTTAGGCTATAAAGTCTAAAAAACATGAATGGAAGTCAATGGAAGGTCCCCACGAGGTCGAGAAACAAACGTGTGTGTGTGTGTGTGTGTGTGTGTTGTCTTTTAGGTGGTAAAACAGGTGATACTCTTTGAATGGTCCGTTGGAGCCAGCAGTCTGGACCAGTGAGGGCCAGCACCTGCAGAAGACACACCATCCTGAATGCTTCTGCACAGATTGAGGTTTGAAATAGTTTTTGGAGATTTGTGAATCTGCACCATCGTAAGTCACTTTTTGTAATAGTATGAATGAGAGAGTTTTATATTGTGTGCTTTGACTTTGAAAAAAAGGGCGGTACTCTTGTAGCTATGTTTACCCTGATAGTTTTTTGTTTTGATTTTCCCCCCTGTATGGAGAGAAAGAGAGGAGAGTTCTTTGAATAAATGGAGATGAGTTCCCGTGCTCCAGTTATTTAAGTCTGTGGTTCTCTCAGTCTGCAGGTTTTCAGCCCTCATAGCTCGCATGTTACAGGGAGTACTAACTGAAGGAGGTAAAATAATTTATCCTTTTTTTTCGAGCATCACTTTTCTGTTTCTCTGTCAGGAGTTAAGTAAGGATTTTATCTCTTCTTTTTTTTGTAGGTAAATATATGGTAAAGTAGATGGTTTTGTTTGACAATACTTTAAATTAAATAAAACTAGCAACACATTACATTCTGTTTTATTTACTTTAAAGAAGTGAGGAGTAGGGAGACAAAAAATTATGTTGATACTGAATCTGGTCGAGTAGCTCTCGGCAAACTGCCGACTTCAAAAGTAGCTCTTGGTTCAAAAAAGGTTGGGCGCCCCTGCTTTAGAGCCTTTGCTATAATCTAAGCATCCTTGAAATTGTCGGAAAGGCAAAATAGGGCCAAAAATCGGCACAATTATCTTGTCGTATGATCCCGACACAAGGTGTGTCTGACAGCGACTCATTTTGGTCCTCTCTCTTTAAAGCAAAATGAGGCACTTCAGCCCACCCCGCCTCCAGGTCACACTCCCAATGATCACTGTCCACTCCAACCAGTTCTGCCATTTCTGTGGTTTGACAGTAAAACTACAATCATCTAAAAGTGCAGAAACAGTTTATTTACAAACAAATTTAAATTAAATTCAAAAATACTTTAYTGATCCCAGAGGGAAATTAGGTTAAAAAAATAAAGAAAGATATAAATAAAGATGTGAACAACAGAAGACTCGTCCATCCAGCCTGACATGTTGGAGCCAGAGTCTGACCCAGAGCCAGAGGACGATGAGGACGACAAACCTGCAGAACTGCAGATTCAAAAAATTGATTAGCTGGAAGTCCACGATCCAGTTCAGCAGGTCCAGAGCAAATACTGTGACGTTATTGTTCAGAAAACTAAATTGGTAATAGAGAAAACTGAACGGACTAAAACTCTGACCCAAACAGAATATAAAGATATCTACGCAGCACCGGGAGAAACCAAATTAAACTTTTCTGCCCTCGTACGGACTCCAAGTACACAACAAAATGCATTTAAACTTTGGCTAAAAAAGTGAATTTTGCACGATATGTTTGATTATTTGGATCCCCATTAGCCATCGCTGTGATCGCTGTGTGGCTACTCTTCCTGGGGCCCGCATGTCTCTTTTAAACAGTCAGGTACTGTTAAAGATTTACTAGGCTGTCTTCACACTGCAGGAAAAAGTGATCCAGATCAGGCTTTTTTAATGACAGTCTGAATGTGACACGTCTATTTTTTTTTTCAAATTCAACTCAGGTCTTTTCAGTTTGTGGTCCTAAATCAGCTACTTATCTGATGTTTTTCAAAATGACCACAGTCTGAGTGCTCATGTTGCATTTCATCTGACTTTTCCATCATTGAGGCGGAGATTTACAGATCAATCCAGATATTGATATCAATACCAACATGTTGGATCGGAGGATCAGACGTATAATTCTGCGCCTGAGTAGGCATGGAGCGCCAAGATGAGATGTGAACATTGGACAAGACAAGCAGAGCAGATGATGATTCAGTCGTCCTGACTGCTCAAAAACAATCAGAACTGATCCGCACACGTCAACGTGTCGCACCCATCCTTGAGTGCAGAGCAAGACGTCACAGTTTCTCCTGTGCACGAGGGTCACTTCAGGGTCGTGGACTCTTAACACTGGAATCTGATGGCGGCCACATTTAAATTATGACGTGAACCACCTCGCAGATGGTGTGAAAACATCAGCAGCACACGGCTGTGAGAGCTAAATCACCATCAGTTTGATTTAGGGTTGGGCAAAATCATATGGTGTGCAATTAGTCCTCAGAAAAACTATAATCGATTATTTTTTGGCAATTGACGGTTAACACGATTAATGCTGCCAGGCAGACTGACTGATGCTCCTCTCCGCTTGAAATATGACAAACATTTTTTTGAAAAAGTTCTGTAAATTATTTATCATAACTCCGGTTTCACTCGGCCTATCAACACAATTTAAACATTGATGTAAAGCCTGAATCTGTACTTTTGACACAATTTGGAACAGATTTTTTTACGGAGAGCAAATCTTTCCCACTAGAGTGATTTAAATTGGTCATGTGACTATGGCATGCAGGTGTCCCGGGACCAGATTAATCATCATACTAACAGTTATCGGCTAAATACCACAATTAATCGTGACAATTATTTTTTTTGCCAATATTGCCCAACCCTAGTTTTATCAGTAACTTCTTCTTTTTTTAAGCAGTCTTATTTCTAGTCTTAGTTTAAGAATTTTAAAAAAATTCACTAAACTGTGTAAATCAACAGTAGAGAGAGGGAAGAGCGAAGTGTATAAAGCTGATTTAAAATTTGTAAAAACTAACAAACATTAATTATATATTATATTCTAGGTTTAAATTAAGCGATAATTAAGTGGTTGATCCTGACCACTTTAAAAAACGCCCCGTCACTAGGAATGCGCGATATAAACGATATACGGTAGAAACGATATAAATTTGTCCTATGATAGAGGTCTGTAGTCTACCGGCCAACCGCGCAATTCTTTTTGATGACTGAACCGGCTGGAGTCAAAACAGAGGAAGCACGAAGCAGCCTGGCTGAGAGTGCAAATGAAGAGCAGGGGGGAAAAAAAACATAACTTATCCAGACCTGGTTCGGGTGTGTGAAAATGAACGCCGAACTGTTTACATGTTTACGTGACGGCGCGTCCTCCGGTCGGATGCCGACCGACCACACTGCCTGCTGCGGGAGGAGCGCGCGCCACGCCATGTGTGAAGGGCTCAACACACAGGAGGCGACGTCGCTCGCTCTCCATTCATTTCCACACAGCGAGGTGACTGTCAGTGCAGGTGAAGTCAGTGCTCAGGTGGGACGCACAAAAATCAGTCTGGACCTCGTTTCTCCTGCGGTCATAGAGCGACAACGCACGACCGCACTCCAAAGCGCGACTTTAATGATTGTCACCCCGCCGGAGCGCGCACAGATTAAACAGGTGGAGTGCAGAAAAAAATAATCTGCAAAGTGTGTAGAAAGGAAGAAATACAAGCAATTTGTTTTACCACCTTAAAACGAAGCTGGTGATTCCAAACACAACACCCAATGGATACAGATATCTATTACCTTATTTTTCGGACTATAAGCCGCAACTTTTTTCCTGAACTTTGAACCATGCGGCTTATAGTCTGGTGCGGCATATATGTGGATTTTTTTCTTCAGCCACCAGGGGGCTCTTATGCTCCATTTGCTTCAAACACTCTCTTCAAAAAAAGAAGAAAAAAAAAGAAAAAAGCGATCCTTCCAGAGCCGACTGTTGACCAGGAAGCAGCGATTTAAAGATAGTCCATGGCCAAAAACTCATAAAAGGGGATAAAACAGACATTTTTCACGGTGGAATTTGACCGACAAAAACTTTGGAGCTTAATCCAGGACCAGTTTTTGGATAAAAGTCGAGTGAAGAGCTGCTGACTTTTTTTTTATGCATTGCACTCCCCGGGGAAGGAATCCCATGCAGTGAGGTATGCTGGAGCAGGAGGGCTTTCCCAGCTGCTGGGCTCTGGGTTTATCGGGGGAACTACGAAAGGTCAGTGCGAAAACGAATGCCGAACAATCACGTGACGGCGCGTCGACCGGTCAACAGCTGAGCGACCATACTGCCAGCTTAGCCAGAGGTGTAGCGCCATTTTGTTTTAGCTAGTAGCAGACACGACACGACGGATCTTCGACAGACACGATATTGGACAGTATACGGGCCCACATCACGGATTCGGTGAAAGCAGCCATCAAGAAAACAAACTCAATTCCTGCTGTTATTCCTGGAGGTACAACAAAGGTTTTGCAACCCCTGGAAATCAGTGTGAATCGTGCATTTAAAGCAGCACTCAGGGGTGAATGGGAGGCTTGGATGACTGACGGGGATAAATCATTCACAAAAACTGGCCAAATGCGAAGAGCGTCATTTCCTGATGTCTGCCAGTGGATCCTAACAGCGTGGAGCAGAGTGAACGAGTCCAACATCACCAATGGGTTCTGAAAGGCTGGACTGCTACGTGAAGAGGACACCACAGCTTCAGAGCCAGCATTACCCCAGGAGGACAGCGACACAGAAAGCAACACTGAACAGATACCACTGTCTGACGCAGCTTTTCTGAGCTTTTTTTAACTCCGACACCGAAGAGGACTTCGATGGTTTCAGTGCGCCGGAGGACGATGAATGAGACGTTTTGTTGGACCAGAAACTGTAAAAGAAAACTACCAAAATGAACCGTATTCCTCCGAACTTTAATTCCTAAAGGTTTGCTTTTTATGTTTTGATGTTGAATTCACTTTTTTGACAACAAATTTGGGTGTACTGTTTTTTTATGTTGGGGGTGCGGCTTATAGTCCGGTGCGGCTTATATGTTAATAATCGCGGGTTTTTTTTTAAATGGCGGGTGCGGCTTATAGTCCGAAAAATACACTACATTAAAGTTATTGTGTGTGTTTTATATA